TAATTTCAGCACTTTGGGAGGCCAAGGCAGGTGGATCACGAGGTCAAGAGTTCAAGACCAGAGTGGCCAACATAGTGAAACCCTGTCTCTACTAAAAATATAAAAAATTTGTGTGTGTGGTGGGATGTGCCTGTAGTCCCAGCTACTCGGGAGGCTGAGGCAGGAGAATCACTTGAACCCGGGAGGCAGAGGTTGCAGTGAACCAAGATCATGCCACTGAACTCCAGTCTGGGCAACTGAGCGAGACTCTGTCTCAAAAAAAAAAAAATACAAAAAATTAGCCAGGTGTGCTGGCACACACCTGTAATCCCAGCGACTTGGGAGGCTGAGACAGGAGAATTTCTTGAACCTAGGAGGCAGTGAGCCGAGATTGCACCACTGCACTTCAGCCTGGGCAACAGAAGAAGGCTCCATCTCAAAAAAAAAAAAATACAGTATTGTAATTTTATGTGACTGCCATTATATATGCAGTCTCTTATGACAGAAACATCACTATGCAGTGCATGATTATAGATTCACACACACACATACACAAACACACACACACACATATAGTCGTCTCATAGTGGTTCCAGGACCTCCCATAAATTCCAAAATCCATGAATGTACAAGTAAGTCCCTGATATGAAATGGTGGCATATTTGCATAAAACCTACACACATCCTCCCATATACTCTAAATCATCTCTTGACTACTTATAATACCTAAGACAATGTAAATGCTGTGTAAATAGTTGTTATACTGTATTGTTTAAGGGATGATGACAAAACAAAGGACTGCGCATATTCGGTACAGACATTTTTGATCCACAGCTGGTGGAATTCACAGATGCGGAACCCATGGCTAATTGTATATAGTTTGTTTTTTGTTTGTTTTTGTTTTGTTTTGTTTGAGACAGAGTCTCACTCTGTCGCCAGGCTGGAGTGCAGCAGAGTGATCTCAGCTCACTACAACCTCCACCTACCAGGTTCAAGTGATTCTCTTGCCTCAGCCTCCCAAGTAGCTGGGACTACAGGTGCACACCACCACACCCAGCTAATTTTTGTATTTTAGTAAAGATGGAGTTTCACCATGTTGGCTAGGATGGTTTCAATCTCTTGACATCGTGATCCACCCACCTCGGCCTCCCAAAGTGCTGGGATTACAGGCGTGAGCCACCGTGCCCTGCTGTATGTACTTTTTAATACATAAAATAAATAGGATAATAATATATTTTATGTTCCTAAAATCCTTTTATTGCCCACAGGCTTTAGCAGACTGACAACAAGAGAGTCTGTGGCACGTAGAGAAGTAAAGTAAGGGGCTGGGCCAGCACCAAGGTGGGAGGATTGCTTGAGCCCAGGATTTTGAGACCAGCCTGGGCAACATGGCAAAACCCTATCTCTACAAAAATTTAGCCGGGTGTGGTGGCACATGCAGCTTCCTGTAGTCTCAGCTGCTTGGGAGGCTGAGGTAAGAGGATTGCTTGGGCCCAGGAGTTTGAGGCTGCAGTGAGCCGTGATTGCGCCACTGCACTCCAGCCTGGCCAACAGAGTGAGACCCTGACTCAAAAAAAAAAAAAAAAAAAAAAAAAAAAAAAAAAAAAAGGTAGTGTTCTCACTTTAGTTGCCAGATGGTGGGGAAGTGGAGGGTGACTCCAGGGGAGGGGCCAGGCTAGGCGGCCTGGGACAGCAGCTCTTTAACAGCTGGAAAGAAAGATCTCAATATTTTAACCACTGGTTTGGCAGTCCCAGTGAGCATGCTGCAGGCCAGCCCAGGAGGGCATGAGCTGTGGGTTTCCCTGTAGTACTTGGGCTTTCCTGCTCCAGCCAGGGGCAGGATTCTCATGACACCCCTAAAGAGTCAACGCAGGCCAGCCGCAGTGGCTCACGCCGGTAATCCCAGCACTTTGGGAGGCTGAGGCAGGCAGATCACCTGAGGTCAGGAGTTCAAGACCACCCTGGCCAACATGGTGAAACACCATCTCTACAAAAATACAAAAATTAGCTGGGCATGGTGGCAGGTGCCTGTCATTCCCAGCTATTCAGGAGACTGGGGCAGGAGAAGAATCGCTTGAATCCGGGAGGCAGAGGTTGCAGTGAGCTGAGATCATGCCATTGCTCTAGAGCCTGGGCAATGGAGCGAGATCCATCTCAAAAAAAAAAAAAAGCAAGCAAAAATGACTGACCCATTTCAGAGACAAAAGGAAATTCCCCCTTCAAGGTCAACAGCTCACCAACATCAGAGCTGAGACTAGCCCCACCTCGACCCCGTCTTCCTCCTTCTCCTGCCCAGGGAGCCTCCAGGTTCCTAGGGACAGTGCTAGGAACTAACTGTAGCAAGATGTACCATTTGCAATAGGATTAGTGCCAGAGGCATGAAGACTTAAAGAAAGGCATGGGGCCAAGGCTTTCCCCTACCTAGGCTCCTCCAAGCCCAAGGGATGCGGACCTCTTTTCAAGATGAGTACCAAGCGAATGCATCTTCCCTTCCAGCTGTTACAGAGCTGTTTCAGAGATGAGAACCTCAGAACAGGGACCCTCCTCCTCTCTGAAGGTGGAAGTGCAGCACTCTCAGTCTAGACCCTCAAGCCGGTTCTACTTGGCAGCAGCAGTGAGTAGAACTATATCAGGATGGTGGGAAAAGGTCCTCTTCCTTGCTATAGCCTCCGCAGACGTGCGACCCCATAAACTACAACAGCAAAACCAGCCCTATCGTGTACTTCTGTACCATACAGCCTCATCTGCAAACAAATCCCTCCCCTCCATATTCTTATCCACGTTCTCCTTCTTTACCTTTGTGGCAACTGATGGTTCCTGCCCATTTGCTTTGTGATGAATTCTTTCCTCCAAAACATGGTTCTGCTCACACCTCCCTGGAGGCTCACTCCTCCTATCTCCATTGGTTCCTTTCCTTCCGCCCTGCTCTCAAATACTGGCCTTCCCTAAGGTGATACAATCTAATTCAGGGACCCTCAACTGGGGGATGGGGATTCTTCTTGTAATAACATTGTTTGGGAGTGTCCCAGTAATTGCAGGACATTTGGCATTCCTGTCCCCTGCTCACTAAATAACAATGGTGTCAGTGGAGGACCCCATGATCTCAGCCAGCATCACAGCTTCAGCAATCACCTTGTGGTCAATGGCCTCTACAATCACCACCTCCAGCCCTTATTCCCCTCCTGGTCTCAGGGCCTGTCTTTCCTGTCTTCTGGTCATTTCCTCCATGCCCCAGCATGTCTCAATCTGAGGTCATCATCTCCCACTAGCATCTCCCCTGATCCAACCTGCATTCCCAAGCCCAGTGATGGCACCCCTAGCCACCCTAGCACCCAGGCCACAAAGCAGGCATTCAGCCTCACCTCCTCCCTCTCTCCAACCCATTCATCCAATCAGCCACCAGTCCTCAGGATTTCACCTCTTAAAAATATCAATTTCATCTGTTTCTCTCCATCTCTGAGGATGCTGATCTAGCTCAGGTTCTCTCTCTCTCTCACCAGATTCCTGCAGTACCCTCCTCATCCTCACTGCCCGCTGCCCTTAGTACGGTCGTACATGGAGCCAGACTGCCTGGATTCAAATACTGCCTCTGTCACTTCATAGCTGTGCAATATTGGCTAGGCAAACATCTCTGGGCCTACATCTTCTGTAAAATGGGCATAATAGTGGCTTCCTCAGAAATGACCATGTTTTCTGAGTTAACATATATGTAGAGTACCCAGCCCCGGGCCTGGCACTCAGTAAATCTTGGCTATTATTAGTCTCATTCTTTCCAATCCACCCTTCACTCAGCAGCCAAAGATAATCTGACCAGGTCATGCCCTCTTAATCCTCCTCAGGGGTTCCCCACCTCTCGGAAGGCTCTGCAGATCTGTCTTCCTTTCACATTACATTCACTCTTGAACACACCTGACTCACGCTCATAATCCTAGCACTTTGGGAGGCCCAAGGCAGGAGGATCCCTTGAACCCAGGAGTTTGAGACCACCCCGGGCAACATAGGGAGACCCCATCTCAAATAAATAAATAAATAAATACGCCTGATAAATCTTGCCTCTGAGCCTTAGCTTCTGCTGTGCCCTGTGCTAAGCACTCTTTCCATCTCTTCCCATCATGAGCGCCTGCCCCTGTGCCGCCTCCTCTGAAACTCCTCTCCAGAACCCTCCACACAGAACCACTCTGTTGCTCTCCATGTACCTACTTCTTTTTTTTTTTTTTTTTTTTTTTTTGGCTAGGGATGAGTATGTGTTCCTTGTGTCTCACTCATTTCAGAATTCAGTGCAGATCCTAGCCCCACCGCCGGCTCCCAGCAAGAGCTTCACAGAATCAAGCTGAATTCCAGCACTTCTGGGCCTCCTAGGGCCAGAGCTCCTCAGCCCAGAGAGTGGGTCAGCTCCAGGCACATCCGGAGGGCCTGGAACTGTAGGGTGTAAGGTGTGCTCTCTGCCCACCTCAGTTCCTGAATTTCCTCCATTAAGGAGCCCCCTCCTCTGAATTTGGGGAGGGGGTGGGGGCTGAGAGCAGCATTATGTGCAGGGCTGCCCAGGCACGGGGGCTACCCAAGGCAGCTGGGGACAAGGAGATGGCTCCAGGCCTTAGCCAAAGCCCTGCCACCTTCTATGATGAGGGCTAAAAGTACAACCCAACGGTCCTAGTGGCCTCTGGGGTTCAGGGAAGCTAGCGTGGACAGGGCTACCTCCTCCACACCTTCCCTCCCACCCTGGAATTCAGGGCCTTTGTTTCAGCCTCTGTTCTGCCAGGGTTGACCCTGACTTTGGGCCAAAGCTTCCCCTCTCAGGATCTGGGTCTCCTTCATCACAAGAAAGACCCTCTCCAGCTCCATCCTGTTCTAAATGCTGACTCTAGGTGGTATCAGGGCACAGAGAATCAGGGGTCAGGAAGACCAAGGGGTTAGAGTGCACTGGAGGGTGGGAGGCGGGAGCAACTTTATACTACCTTAAGCACATTCCTGCCTATCCCCGCTCCCTTCTTTGCCCGTCACATAGAGGCTGGCCACACCTGAGAACAGAAAAGGAGAAAGTTTATTGAAAACTATATACAGCTGGTCTAGCTCCTACCATGGGCTGCAATCTCAGCCAGTCCCGCCCACACCTCAGGCAGTGTTCTGGCCCCTCGTGGGAGGGGTGGGGCTGGGCCTAGGGCCCAGACTCCCTTGGTGGCTTGGCAGCTGGAGCCCACCGTGATCTTTGTAAAGTACAACTCTAAATGGCCTGAAGGTAGTGGGCGAGGGACAGGGCATGGATCCCTGCCTGACCTAGTCACAGCCTTGATAGGGGAACACTACTCTGAAACTGGGCCCAAGGAGGGCTGAGCTAAGTCGTCTGGAAGTCCTGATTGCTCCTCTCACAGGCCTTTCTAGACGTGGAGGCAAACAGCCTCCCTACGACCCCACCCCACGCAGCAGGCCCCATGGGCTTCACGGGCTTGACCGGGACACCAGGTACCCTTCCTCCCAACACTGACTCAAGGTCCAGGTCTCCTGGGGCACTTCCCAAGCAGAGGACTTGGGGTTGAGGGGTGAGCGTTGGGGAGGTCACAGCTCTGGGCCCAGAACCAGAGCGTCCCGGGGTGGGGCCAGCCGTGGGGTCAGGGCGTCCCGCTGTAGGAATAGTCCGCTTTGTTGTGCATCACCAGCCGGTCATCCACGAAGTAGAAGCTGTCAGACTGGGTCTCATACGGGTGGCGGATCATCTCGCTGACTGCAAGAGAGGCCCAGCCAGGCCGGGCAAAGGTCAGGCGCCTGATTCCGACTACTGAGGGGGCTTCAGGACTGGGGTTCCCGGACGGCAACAACTTGAGATAGCCCCAGTCTCTTTCTCTACAGATGATATGAGACTGGCACCAGACACAGAGCCCCAGGGCGGGGAGAAATGGGGTCAGACCCACAAGTCCCCCTCCCTCCCACAGCTCGGTCTCTACACGCCCCCTACGTCCCCACTCGCAGAAGGCCCTGCCCACGCACTCAGCTCCTCGGAGAGAGGGGGGAAGTCGTAGATGTGCTCGCAGGTGTTCTTGCTGCTGGGGATGCAGAAGCCAAAGTGGAAGTCAAAGCTTTTGAGTAGCTGGTTGCGGAAGTAGTGCCTCTCGATCATTCGGAAGTTGTTGACAGGCTTGTCTCCCACCGTGAACTCCACCCTGAGCAAGAGAAGGAGGCAAGGCTGAGTCTGTCCTTGAAGTCAGCCAGCCAGACAGGCTCAGGACAGGCCACCCCTAGGAGAGGCTGAGAAGGGCCCACTCCCACCCTCTCCCTCACCCCCCGACCCCACCCCCTGCCCAGTGACTCACGTGGCTCCCACCTGCCTCAGACGGAGGAAGGCAGGTGTGAACTGGTAGCGGACAAAGCGCCCAGCATTGGGGTCCAGGTCCCGCCGGCTGATGGGCAACCGCTCTGCAATGTACCCCCACTGGGGCTCAGTGGGCTTCAGGCTGGGCCCTTGTCCACCCAGGGTTCTACCCTCAGGCCCCCATCTGTCTGAATTTTTTATAACTCCCCAAGAAATTCTGGGGCACACCGAGGGGTCAGACCATTGGCCGAATAGCGCCACCTAGGGGTTCTAGGTCTACAGGTTCCCAATCGCCACTGTGGTTCTCAGGACTCATAGGACTGCAGTTCCCAGAGAGGCCTGTAGAGGTCAGACTGCCAGGGACCGAAGGGGCAGGGCTGACCTCGGAAGACGTCCAGCCTCAGAAACAAATGGGAAGGAAAAGAAGGGACCCCTCTGCCTGCAGACTCCTGAGAATGCTGGGGTCCAAGCCCCAGCTCTGTGGACTCCTCTGTGGCTCAAGGAGTCCCTGGCAGCCCAGTCCACAGCTCGTGCCTGTCCATGGCCCTACCCAGCCCACTCACCTGAAGCTGGGGGCTTCTTGATTTCAAAGAGGACAGTGCCTGAGTCCATGTCCCGAATCTTAAACCTGACGAAGTCGATCTTGTAGATATTCTCCTCAGGGGAGCAGAGGTAGTCTAGGGGAGACAGGCAGCTGAGCAAAGAAGGGGCCCCAAAGCCCCTGCTGCCAGGTCAGCTTGCGGGGGACCCCAGAGTAGCTACCATCTTCTCATCCCTGGGGTCACTGCCCTCTGGAAAGAGGAACCTGAGCCCCTGCCATAGGGGTACATCCCCAGTGTGGAAGAGACATCACTCTGCCATGGGGATCTAACAGGGGATAAGGAGCGCCATCCCAGTGGCCTCTGGGGGCCAGTGAAGGGCAGGGCAGAGAAAGATGGAGGACAAGGTCACCTCCCGGACACTCTCCCTCCCGCCCTGGAGTTGAGGGTCCTCATTCTGGCCTCTGCTCTGCTAAGGCTGGCTAGGTGACTTTGGGAGAACTGGATCTCCAGCCTGGTGGGAGCCTCTCCTCTCATGTGGGAACAACTTCCTGCAGTCTGACCTGCCTCTTCTACTGCAGACTCAATTTCTCAACCTGTCTGTTGCCTTTGAGAACCACACTGTAAAGGGGACCACACAGCTCTGCCTGGTAGAGTGACAGTCCTTCTCTGGAGGATACCCCTACCCTTGCCCCATGGTTGCCCCTGGCATGACATCTAGATGTGTCAGGTGAGGCTGATGTTGAGGGGACTTTCCCTGACATGGGTAGTGCTGGGCAGGCGAACAACCCCTTTCCTGTTCCTCCTCCCCTCCCAACCCCCTCCTCTCAGTAAGAGGCTTACACCAGCCCAGCTCCCTTAAGCAGCTTAACCAAAGCTCTGCTGACTCAAGCCCAGAGCCTGGGATATGGCAGGGGGAGGAGGCCAACTTCGCTCTCATCCTTTGTTGATCTCCAAATGGGAGGAAGTCTTAGCAAGCAGAGGGAACCCCCTTAGAGGTCATTTACACAGCCCTGGCTCTGAGCCACCTCCCTGGAGAAAGTAGCCCCCAACCCCGACAGAGAAGAACACAGGCTAGGCCAGGAAGAGGGTATGGCAGGTGCAGCAGCAGCTGTGGAAGGAGTAAGGGGAGTCCTCAGGCCCAGAAGGGGAACCAAGAACAGTGGGAGGCCCTGCCTGAGGACGCTCAGGGACCTCCAGGGCCTTATCTAACCCTCACAGCTCTTGCAGCAGCAACTTCAAGTGCTCAGGGAAGCCCTGGCAACAAAGAGAGCTGAGAGGTGCGGGGAGGGACTCTGGTGCTATCAGCCTGCGCAGCATCACATCCTCCCCTGGTGGCCTATCGAGGCCCAGAAATCACCCTCCAGGCCCCTGGGCCACCTCCTAATCCTCTGGGGCAGGAAGAGGAAGTGAATATAAAGTCATTTTCTCTTCCCCAGGCCCACTTCTTCCCCAAGCCTGATGCAGTCCCCTCCAGGAAGCCCTCCTGGCAGTTATCTGTTACCCCGGGGCCCAGTATAGACTTTATACAGCTTGGGAAAGAGGCAGGTCCCTGAGTCTACTACAGCCCATGGGTGGGGTTGGGGGAGAATGGAAGTGGGCCACCCCTACCTCACCCTGTTCACCCTATGTTTACAGAAAGTAAGCACTAGTATAAAGAAACACAGAAGGTACAGAGCATAGGGAACAAAAGTGGCAGAGTGGGGAGCAGGATCCTAGTGCCCAGCTCCCAGATCGAAAAGGCCTTCTCGCCTCCCATTCTCCACTTTCGGAGCCTCTCTCATTTGGCAACAACTTCCTGTAGTTTGATCCTAGTGCCTTCTACTGCAAACTCAATCTATCAACCTCTCTGTCCTTAGAGGAAGTGAGGAACAGAGCTGTCCATATCTCAGAACACCATGACCATTCCTTCCCTTCTAGAAAGGATGAGGCCTGACACCCAGGGTCAGGTCAAAATAAGGGGCAGAGTGGCCAAGGGCTCAGACCACAACTGCTCTATTCCTCCCAGCCATAAATAGCTTCCTAAGCTGGATTCAGGGCCCAGTAATCTGGGAACAGCAAACCTCAGACCTGCGTGATTGGGGTCAGAAGAGACCAGGCAAGGGGTGCCAGGGTGGAAAGCCCTGGAACTCGGTTCTCAACTCCTGCACAGAAAGGGGTTCCCATAAAGCCCTTTCCCTGACTTACCCTCCACAGATGCCTGATCTCTAAGGGCTAAGAATGTCCTCCAAATTAGGAGACAAATGGCGGTACATGAGCTGGAAGCTCCCTCTAGTTGCAACATAAACCCCCAAAGTTACTCAGGACTCAGTCAGTCTGACCTCTGGACTTCCTCTGAGAAAGTTCTGCCCCAGAGCTAAGCTGAATCCTAGATGCTGCTGTTGCAAATTGTAGCCCAACTGGCTTCAACATCAGCCTGGTCCAGGCCCCCTCCCTCCATCGATGCCTGCTTGGGCAAGGGAGCTCAGCACTCTGGGGGCCCAGCCAAGAATGGCTGCTGCCCAGCTCAGAAAGGAGAAAGGAGGTGGCCTCCCAGCGACCCAGGAGCACCAGTTCAAGGCTGCCTCCCCTCCACAGCTGTGTCTGGGAGCCCTGTGGTTCTGCTGCTTTGGAAGCTCCAGGGCTCAGGTCCACTTCAAAACCTGCCCCTCATACCCACAGAGAGGAGCACCAACAGTTATTCTCCCAAAGGGGGCCAAGGCAGGTTGCTGGTGGATGAGGCCAAGGTGGAGAGCCACTGTCTCCCCATGCACCGCTCATCCTTTGAGGCTCAGCCAAGGCCTCTGCTATGAGGTTTCCTAGCCCTCGTTCCCTGCCTATCATGACCCCCTCCCCTGCCCTGAAGGCCAAGTTGTTTGACTCCAGGCAGCAGCCATGAGCAGCCCTGTAGGGCCTGAACTACTACTGACCAAAGAGCCCAAGGTAGACAGTATGCATAGATGCCAGGCACTGTACAGAATCAGAGGGCTTATCTCCACAATAACCTTATGAGATAGGTATCATTATCCCCATTTTACAGTCGAAAAGACGTGCTCAGAGAGGTGAGATTGCTTGCCCAAGGTCACACAGCCAATTATATGGCAGAGTTGGAACTCCAACCAGGCAGTGCAGCTCAGAAACTCTTAACCACAGTGGAAACCAAGCCTCCCTTGATGACAGAGCCCCCAGAATAGGACAGGTGACAGTCCAGGCTTGGAGGGGCGTTAAGCCACTCCCCATGAGAGGAACCACAGCCAACACACTGAAGCTGCCTGCTCTGTTTCTTTCCTAGGGAAGAAAATGGCCCAAGTCTTCCTGGAAGATTGGGGTGTGGGTATTAATGGTTGGGGAGACTTGAAGGGCCTGAACGCCTCCCAAGTAACTCAGCCTCCACTATCCTCCAGCGTGGGGGTTGAGGACAGGCTGCGCTCAGCCCCCATCCCCATTAGTGCAGGGGCGGGCCTCAAAGCGCTCTGGAGACTCCACAGGGACTGGGCTACGGTTACAGCTGCTGCCGCACCTCCACGCCGGGAAAAGGGGACGGGACCCTCGAAAAGGAAGGAATAAATCTCAAAAGGGAGAAGAAGAGCGCACAGAGAGATCAAGGGAAGGGGGTACACAGAGATCTAAGGCTTGGAGGCAGAAGGGAGAGTAGGAAACCTAGGAGAGGGGGACCCGGTGGGGGAGGGGAGGCGGGAAAGGGGGCGGGGGCTGGGGCTCGGCGCGCCGGGAGGGCCCCTCGCGCCCTCTCCCCTTCCCGCCCGCGGGCGGTGCTCCCTCGCGGGTGCTCACCACCCGTGATCCGCTGCAGCCCCAGCACGTCCTCCGGCCCGATCGGCTGCTTCCTCTGCAGCGGCCCCGGCATGGGCCCTGGGCCTGCGTCCGGCTCCGACTCGGACCCAGATTCGGATTCCGCCTGTGGCTCTGGTATGGGGGCCACGCTGGGGCCCGAGGGCCCTGGAGCGGGCTCCGTCCCCGTACCGGCCCCGCCGCCGCCCTTCTTCACCTTCATGGCCTCGCAGGGCCGCGGCTCGCCTACTGCCGCCGCCGCTGCCTGCGCCGGCTGGAGCCGGGGGAAGGGGGAGCGTCCGCAGCCCCGCCCCCGGCAGGGGCTCCAGGTACCGCCCCGCCCCTGCCCCGCCCCCTGGGCGGGCCCTGCGCTGATCCCGCCCGCCGCCCTGCCCACCCCTGCCGAAAGGCCGCGGGCGCGGAGGAGGGGCGTTGGGGGAGCGCGCCCTGGGCTTCATTCTGTTTTTCTGACACTTTCCTGGTACGAGTGGGGTCCTGACCACCTCTCCGCTTACTCACTGTGTTTCTGGCCTTTCTGCTCGTGAGTTCCAGGCTCAGGGTCTCTGCTTGGATGCTCTTCCCCAGATGGCCTCTTTTCTCCTGGTCACAGCTCAAATGTCATCTGCTCAAACAGTCTCCCTCACGCTCAGTCTAAAGTCCTTCCCCCTCAGTCACCATCTCACCAGCCTGTTTTTTTCTTTCTAATGCAGTATGTGAAATTATTTTTATTTGTCCGCTGACTCTTCCCCTGAAAGCTCAGCTCTGTGAAAGCACTGATCCTGCCTACTTTGTTCTCTGGAGGACCCCAGCACCTAGCAGACGGCTCCCTGCAGCTGGTGCTCAAGATTTTTTTTTTTTTTCTTTTTGAATCTGATGAATGAGTTAGTATCTCAGATAAAAAGCACTAACAGCCTTGGGCAATCCAGCTAGGAAGGGCACATGGCCACGTGGAAGCAAGGTGGACCTGTGGGCACAGGAGGACAGACACCAGGAAACCGTTACTTATGTGTGAATGCAGAAAGAGTAAAGCTCAGACTTCATATCATTCCAATTCATATTCAGCCAGTGTTTATTAAGAGCCTAATATACGCCAGACACTTTACATGCTGATCACATTTAATCCTCACAACCGCCTTGTAAGGGACGTATCATCAGTGCCATCTGAGTGAATGAAACTCTGAGGCTCAGAGAGATTCAACAGCTTGTCCAAAGTACTCCAGACAGTAAGTGCAGAAATAAGAATTTGAATTCACAACTGTTTGATTCCAAATCTAGAACTTGCTGGGACCTCTACCACACACACAGAGCACCACATCTGAGCTGCTACCTCCTGGACTCCCATCAGACTGTACCCGACAGACAAAGCCAGCCAGGAGGGAGGGGAGTGAGGGAGAAGTTCCCAGAGGTGACCAATGCCTGGCCCCTTGATAACAGCAGAGGCTAGGGCTCTCCCACAGGAGTTAGGGAGAAGTGTGGAGGGGAGGGGCTTTCCCATAATGCTCCCTCCTCTCAAGTGCACCAGTGTGCTATGTTGAGAAATGGGGCAAAAGAACAAACAGTCCTTGCCCCAGAGGGATACAGGCAGCAGCCTTAAAGATCACACAAGATAAAGAGACCTGGATGATGTACCTTTTTAGGCCCCTCTTAGTGGAACAGGACTGAGCCAGGGGAATGGGAAAGGAAAGAAAGATGAACCCATCTTGGAGTGTCGTACTTTGGTTGATGGAGAGCCAACAGTGGAGACTGGAGACAGCAGGCCCCATGTATGTGCCTCTCATCTAACACCGCCCGTCTCGGCCAGACAGGAAGGCTTCCTATGGAGGTGCCGCCCTGCTCAGTCTGTCTTCTCAGGCTTTTTCCAGGACTTGCGGGTCTCCAGGAAGATCTTGACCAGGGAGAGGAGGATGGGCACAGCCATAGGCAGGAAGAGTGGGATGTAGATGGCAAACTTCTGGTCATCAGGGAAATAAAGGAGGTGGAGGAGTGATGGGTCAAAAAAGGCACGCTCAGAGGATGTCACAGCTTCCTGGCTGGCGACAAAGGCAGATGCCAGGTGCCCAGAGGCCAACTCTTCTGCTGACTTCTGGATTGCAGCTACAGCCCTGTACACCTAGGAAGGAGAAGGAACAAGAGGGTATACCAGCAAGTCCTAGGCATTAGTGGGAAGGGTCCTGGGCCTTACCGTGCCTTCCATCTATCGAGGAAGGCACTTAAAGTTCATCTGGGGGCCGGGTGCAGTGGCTCAAGCCTGTAATCCCAGCACTTTGGGAGGCCGAGGCGGGTGGATCACGAGGTCGAGAGATCGAGACCATCCTCGTCAACATGGTGAAACCCCGTCTCTACTAAAAATACAAAAAATTAGCTGGGCATGGCGGCGCGTGCCTGTAATCCCAGCTACTCAGGAGGCTGAGGCAGGAGAATTGCTTGAACCCAGGAGGCAGAGGTTGCGGTGAGCCAAGATCGCGCCATTGCACTCCAGCCTGGGTAACAAGAGCGAAACTCTATCTCAAAAAAAAAAAAAAAAAAAAAAAAGTTCATCTGGGATCTATGGAAGTCTGTCTAAAGGTATATGGTTTATTTTCCTAGGGTCAGCTTGAAACCTCACACTCTCATCTACACTTCTGCAGGGGAGCTGGTGCTGCCGTCTAGAGGAAGCCTGGGAAGATGGCAAGCCCACCCATACCATGGACCTCACAGATTCTCTAATCTCACCACACTCTGGCCCTCTCTGACTACTCCAGTCCTAAGCTGCAGAATCCATCCCCTGCCTGCTTACCTCAGACGCCACATCGTCCTTGATGACAATGTTGCTGATCTTGCCCAGAAGCTGTGCCAGGGAGGTGAGGGTGGTGGTGGCTGTGGCCAGGTTCTCCACTGACCGAGCCCAGAGCAGCCGGTCTAGCTCCCAGGTCATTAGCCCTTCACTCTTAGGCCCTGAAAGCAGGCATTTTGGAGGCACCTGGGGCTGAGCAATCCCAAAGAGCAACCTGTAGAAACAGCGGAGTAAGATCAAGGTCGCTGAGATCACAAGGTGGGAGAGGATGGCTAAGATTTCTCAAATACCTGTCCTAAGCCAGTGATTTTCAATCTTACCCAGAACCACAGGGGTTAACTGGAAGTGCTTCAGGGTTTTGGGGCATAAGTGGCAACACCAAGCAAGTCAGCCACAAACCCTACTGTTCCAGCTGGTGTTTCTGCTTTTACCTGTTTCAATATTGCACTTCCAAGATCTTGTTTTTTAAAAAGAGTTCCATGGCTAAAATACTTCTGATAACACCAACTTAGTTTAATCCTTTCACCTGCTCTACCCTCTCTTTGAACAAACGGGGCCAATGGGACTTAGCATTAAGGGATGATCCAGGACTGCCTTTGCCAAGGCACTGTGCTGTGCTTCTCTAAGCCTGCATCTGTGACAGACACCGCTAGTCAATCAGAAGAATACTCTTTCCTAATGAGCCCAGATATCGCCTTAGAATCCTCAACACAGAGCCTCAGGCAGCCATTCTCAATCCGTCAGGCAGCACAAGAATTAACAGCTATTGCCTTAAGCAGCCCTAATCCTGCCCCATGGACCTGACATTCATGAGTCTATTTTTCTTAGAACTGGTTTTGTCACCTACTAGTCCTTCTTAGAAAAAGGAGGATGGAATCCTTAGAAACCCTTCTTGGTTTCCCTGGGGCTCTGGGCACAGCCAAGATATCCCTGAAGATTTGATTCCACTTTGCAACTCCCCTCTGCAGTCAAGGAGACTATGTCCCCAAGTGGACCATCCAGGACCTCACCGCAGCTGAGCCAGAAACACCTCCATCACTCGCACCATGTCCACCTCGACTCTCACCGGCAGCGCTGAGGCATTATAGGCTTTGGAGTCGACATTATATACCTGAAAGGGGGATGCCACAACATCATACCAGGCCATGTACCGCTCTGCCCTAGGCACTCTGGAGAGAAAAGGAACACATATTCTTTGCTCTTTAGAAGCTATAAACCTTATGGTATGGCTAATATTTTTTTAGTACCTGTTACAGGGAGCATTAAATAAATTATCCCAATGACCCCCTTGAAAGTTCTGTAGAACATATTTTTTTATCCCACTGTAGAATTCTCCCCCATGAGAAACTCCCAATCTAACAAGGAAGGCAAGGGCTCTCAGCCTGGCAAGACTCCCACAAATAAGGCAAAGATCTAAGATGGACACAGAATGATCCTAGGTAAGGGCAAAGGGTCATAGTATAGAACGCACTAGTGGAAACAAGAGTGGGGTCTGCAGAAAAGAGGCATGAGCATGTGGCACCCTCACCTCCCTGCCTGCTCCTACCCCAGGCTGGGCCATGGAGGACACCAGAAGGAAAACAGAAGGAACACAGTTTCAGGGAACACCTGCCTGTCCCAGAAGCATGGGTTCTGGGGTCTGCATAGTGTGACTATTACCATAATGCCACCCCAGCGGGGACTGTGAAAGGCATTGGTGGCCACTGGAGCACCATCTTTGTCCTGAATGTACAGTGGGGAGTGGGCAAGCTCAGGAACGTAGAGTAGAAAGTTGAGCACAGGGTACAGGGAGGCAGCACTGGATCCTGGGGTATAAAGACAGGGAAGGCAGAACATCAAAACATGCTGGACCTGGACCCAGTCCCAGCTCAGCCTCTAACTTGCTGGTCACTCACTCTGGGACTGATTCCCCAACTAACAATCACTAGAATATCCTCCTGTCCTGGCTTTCTATAGTAAAGGGCTTCAGAATGTTCTCCGAGATGTGCTACACAGATGGAAACATAGTCCTTAGCTCCAAAACACCCCGGAATCTCCCGACTCGAAGGCCCCTTGAGCATCTAAGGCAGCTTTCTTGGCCACTGCCACAATGTACCCATGTTACTACAGACAGTTTTATGCAAACCAGAAATCTGACTTGATGTCAGTTCCCTGCTTAACATCCTTCAATGGCTAGCCACCATAACAGGTTAAAGTTCAAACTCCTAGGCCGGGCGCGGTGGCTCAAGCCTGTAATCCCAGCACTTTGGGAGGCCGAGACGGGTGGATCATGAGGTTGAGAGATCGAGACCAACCTGGTCAACATGGTGAAACCCCGTCTCTACTAAAAATACAAAAAATTAGCTGGGCATGGTGGTGCGTGCCTATAATCCCAGCTACTCAGGAGGCTGAGGCAGGAGAATTGCCTGAACCCAGGAGGCGGAGGTTGCGGTGAGCCGAGATCGCGCCATTGCACTCCAGCCTGGGTAACAAGAGCGAAACTCCGTCTCAAAAAAATAAAAAATAAAAAATAAAAAAATAAAGTTCAAACTCCTTAACATGGTCCTTTATGATCTGGC